TAGTGCCCACCCTGTGCCCAAGGTGCCTCTGCTTTGCACCAGGTGCATCCTGGGATACACTCCAGCCTGTCCATTATCTTGTACCCTCCAGGTTAGCGGCTAGAATACTGTTTGATGAAGTTAGATACAGCACAAAATGAGGTTAGATACAGTACTGTGAAAAAAAGCTTCTGTTCCCTCATAATGGAGACAGAAGAGGAAGACGGCTTCTGATCGGGGCCCTCTGTCCTTTCCCCTTGTTGCCATAAACAATGTCGTTCATGGTTCATGAGTTTCAGGAACCTCCTCCAAGCAGCTTAAGTGGACGTGATGCTTAAATTATATATGAGCAAAGAGAGGTGGGGTAAGCACAGCTACAGCCATCAGACCAGCAGCAGCAAGCTATCGTAGACGCGAGAACAGGAGTGGCGAGGATTTAGACGAGGGAAGCAGGGGGGGCAGAGTGAGAGAAACAGAGAGAGTGACACTGAGCTTCAGGTCGCAGTGCTACTGGACAGTTACGCCACTTTGGACCAGAAAATACACAGAATAAGTACTGATACAGGGACAGCAAATTTACATATAATTTCTATATAATTTAGAGGATGAAACATTTTAATTTGTTTTTCTTTACAATGTTTGTGCTCAGGAGGATGTGGAAGAAAACAAGCATTTTTAACACGTCGTATGATGTTTTGTGTTGTCCAAAGCAGATGTTTCTTACTGGAGGTGTAATTGCAGAGTGTCAGATTATGTTCCTACTACACGTGATGAGAGGACACGCAAACGGGTGAGTGACGCTCCCATTCAGAATAAAAATAGATTTAAAAGCTGCATTTTGGGTGAATAGTACTGAGTCTATTTTTATGTTGTGTGTTTAGGGGACATTGCGCAGGCCTGTGATTCAGTCTCTGTGACAGAAGGACGTACGAAGTGGCCAGTAGGAAAGATTAATATGACAGGAAGTGCCATTTGAGGCCCCCCACCCTAAGCGGGGGCGAGAACCTAAAAGCTTTCTGTGTGAAAGCAGCCGCTCTCTGAGGTGATGCGTGTGGTGGGGGTTGTGAGAAATAGAGGACAGCGTGACGGAATGATGGAACGGACTTCATAGGGTGGTGCGAGCGTCTGGCTGAAGCCACGCCCTCCAGTAGCGTTGCATGATTTTACACGCTCCCTCCATCGCTTTTCATTCTAACTTTTGGTGGCCTCCTCTTCCCTCTGCAGCACTGCCACGAACGCTCACCTTTCATTCCACAACCATCCCAAAGGTGTCCCCGCCCCCCCATCCGCCCGTCCTTGTTGACATTGTGCCCGTTGATGAAAACCTTTCCTGGAGAAGCTGCCAGCGGGGCTCTGTTTGCGCTCTACCCCACACCACTGTTTTCCCGTCACGTTTCAGCTTCAGCTTGGTGAACAGAAACACAAGCGTCTTGCTTTGCCGTGCACCAGGCTGAGGAATCTTCCCTTTTAACTGTCCTTCTTTTTCTTTCCCCTCCTGGCCTCACATCATCTTCACTTCATCCTTCCTTTATGGACGTGACACATGTTCTCCGCAAGCATGACCCAGTACACTTAACACAGGGAATCTTTCATGGAATATTGATTGTTCTTTGAATGCTCTTATGTTACACTCACTGGCCCTTGAATGAGGTTCTTACTTTGTTAATAGTTATTTGTGTAGTTGTATAGCTGTTCTGTGGCTTCTGCTCCAAAACTGCGTACACTTGTACCTGGGCATTCACTGGAAGCTCAGTCTAGCTGCACTTGTACCTGGGCATTCACTGGAAGCTCAGCCTAGCTGCACTTGTACCTGGGCATTCACTGGAAGCTCAGCCTTGCTGCACTTGTACCTGGGCATTCACTGGAAGCTCAGCCTTGCTGCACTTATGCCTAGTTGACCCCTTGTTAGCATGAATGTGCTATTTGTCTCACTTGTATTTCACTCAGGGCAAAAGTGCCTGATAAAAATATAAATGTAAATAAACTGGCGTGCTATGTGGAAGACAGCCATAGCCTGGTGTCACCAGCAGGTTATGACAAACCCGTCAATTGCAAACTGTGCAAACTGACATGAAGGAGAAAAGGTTAGACCCCACTCCCCCCCGCCCTTGTGGGGGGGACAGCACCGATTAATCCTCCCCTTTGCTCCTTCCTCAGTTGTGTTATCTTACTTTCTCATTAATCTGCTGGTGATTCGCTAACAGCTCAGGGGCTCAGCAGAGATCTCACCAACATGACAGTGTGCTGTCCTTTGTCTGCCAATAAGAAATGCTAATCTTTCCATAGGTGCAGCTCTTCACCAGTGCATCTGCCTTCCCCAAAGGCCACTGCACTAAGCACCATTTACACATGCCACAACTTATCATTCAGTTGTGTCCCCAAGGTGCCCGACTGAATAGATTATAACTTTTATCTCTTATGAGCTTATGCAAATACACAGTTCTGCTCATTGTTAGCCTATTGTCTTTATTCTCTGTGTGAGGATGATGCTTTACAAGTGTGCTTGTGACTCTACACACTTTTTTACTGCTCTTTTTATCTTAGATGGTCACCTGAAATTGGTGTTGGACCCATTGGGGTGGATTACATGTAGAACCCTCTTCCTCATCATATCTGGCTTTTTTTTCTGAATTCTTGGCCTGTTCTAGCTGGTGTGTTTGACTTAATTAAAATCGTCAGTGATGGCACACTTCCTGCTGCGTAACATACTGTTCCAACTCATCCACGGTGTCCTAAGTGTGTGCATACATGCGTACCAGCTGGTGCCCAAAAAATTTCAGCTCCACCACATCCTCCACTGCCAGCCACTGAGGACCGCAATGTTAAATAGTCCAAGATCAATCAGAGAACACACCGAATCTTAGGTTAAGTTGGGGCCTAAATGTATTAGCTTTTTTGAATTTGATCCTGGTGTGCTAAACGCCACAGACACACGTTTCTCCATATCCTGTTAGCAGCATCTGTATGTTCTATGTATTGCTCAGTTCATCCAAGTCTAAGAGGTCAGGTGAGAAGGAGTCAATCATCTGGAATGAATCTTTCAGCCAGTGGGAAAGGAAGGAAATGCAAGACTGGGAGGATAAGATGAGATCAGCAGAAATTCAAACTGGACTAGCTTTTAATCAGGAGCTGAGATTTACCCACACAGACCACCTACCCACAATGCTTTGGAACAGGTCATGCACACAATCGAACAGAATCGACCTTGCGCAGTGTGGCAGCTGTGCACTGCTGGAAATTAGGAGGCCTTCCAATATCTGCAAAACTTTACGGGAGCATCAAACTGACTACGCTTCTGCCAAGTAAACCTTTAAATAAGGTGCCAAAAATATTAACATTGTGAGGCACTATTGTAAAAAAAACATGTATATGTTGATATGGTTAGAGCTAAAAATGTGAAAAATTAGATAAAATACAGTCCCACGGTAAAAATAATCCTACCTTTAATATATGTTTAGCATTAATACAAATAACTAATTACAGAATAGTTTGTCATTTCAAGGGCAGAGTAAGAAAATTTATAATAAACAATACTGCATGTGCAGGACCATTATAATTTCTACTCTATTTTCAGCTGTACAATAATATGTGAACTCATCATCTATCTGGGTACACATTCCATAAAATTTTCCTCTATTCCCTCTATATATTGAAATAGTTAGCGTTTGATGTATACTATATTTAGGGTTGTATCTGATTTTGCTGATGATCTCATGGAGGATTGATATGGAGGATTGTAAGTCTTTAAAGTAGATGCCCACAAACACAGAACAAACATGATCAGTCGTTCCAGGAATCCAGTCCAGATGCAGGCTGTGAGATCAATATCACGTTGAGTTAATCGCCAGTCGATGTTGAGTACGATCAGAGGACCTTTGATGTGAATGTCTGTAGCCCAGCTACTGTAAGTGTGTTGCCTGTTTCAGTCCTGAGGGAGATTATGGTGGCAAATTTCCCAGCCAAACTCGACAGTGCTACAACAATCCTGATATCACATCTAGTAATAACTTCTTAAATAACCTACACCTTGTACATTACTATAAACACAAAAGGACATTTGTGGATAAGCAATAAAACAGTCCTCTTATGCTAATATTATTCATTTACACCCCCGAATAATAGTACAAATAAGTTTAATTCTTATTATGATTCAATTATCATGATCCAAAAAGAATTCTGAATTGATTTTAACTTAATTATTCAACTTAATATAAACCATGAATTCATTCATAAATGAATTCATTCACTGAGTGAATGAATTAATGTATTAATTCACAAATTCATTCATTAATTATTGTTTTTTAATGGCGAAATCCCTGGTCTCCTCATCTGGAACCAAATTCTGCATATACAAAGTATTTTTTTGGACTGAAATCCCCAATTCTGTTTCTAACACAGCACTGCAGCCATCTGAATACATTCCACAGAGAGAAAACCACGTAATACATGGGCTCAGGACGCTTGTACGCCACAGAAGCTAAGGTGGTCCAGAAAGTACAAATCCAGACCAAAATTTTGTTTCAACCAACCAGTTGAGTGTAGAGAGTCATAGTCACAGAGTACTGGTTGGGTGAAACAAAACCTTGGTCTGCATTTGTACTTTCTGGACCTGAATTTTCCAGCTCTATATAGAAGGTATCACTGGTCAATGGGCCGTATGGTTTGTCCACCACAACGTGAGGCTTAGCAGACATTGTGGATCTGGGCCTGTATTACTCTCTATTACTCCCAGCCACAGCATCAGCCTGTCACAACCTCTGCAAAAATATCTGGACAACGCCACAAACATGGACATACAAACATGTAAAAATAAACATCTATAGCAGACATAGCTTTTGGCAAACATGCTCCGACAGCTAATGTTCATGTTCGCCAGACCGCAGCGAGGATAACCAGCTAGCAGTAACCCCGCTAACACAGGCGTGCAGTGCTTGGGTTTGTGTAGCTGCCGTCGCACACACAAGCAAGGCCAGCATACAGAGAAGGCAGACGCAGCAAGACCCACAGCAAACGGCACTGACCTTAAAGCTCCAGTAGTTTGGCTGTTGCTGCAGAGAGAGGAAACAGAGAGGGGGGGGGAGGAGAGGGAATTAGAATCGCATGTATGTCATACACGGGTATTGGCTTCCTTGATTAAGAATGAGAGGGCGATGGGGAAGATGGAGGAGCAGGCAGTGAAGGTGGGGTGGGGGGGGCACAGTATGACAGATGATGACTATATTGTCATTCTCATTTCAGAAGGGCCTGCCTATTACAGACATAGCTAACACAGAGAGACCCGATTAAACTCATCCTTTACCAAAAAAAAACTTCAGAAACATTAAGAGCTAATTACAACTGCGATTGTTTTTCAGGGTAGCGATTCAAATGACATTTGTTTGCTGATATAATTTATTTCCGCAAAGGGAGTTACCCTCAAACCCGATACATAATATCACATCCGATCCTTATTCCCAACACATTCAGTTGCCTTAGGTTCATGACAGCACTCAATGAAACGATGGAAAATGAGCTTAAAAGCCTGCTCTCTTTAAAAACTCTGGCGGTGCTCCCAGACTTGTACCTCACAAAGATCTTTCACCACTTCCTCTAAGGACATTCTGCAGCAGACAATTAAAGGTCAATTTGGCGCAACAGAGACACACAGAGAAACCAAAGGAAAAGAAAAAAAACTGAAATACGTGCTGTTTGTTCATCTTGGATGAAAAATCTTTTGGCACTGAAAGAAATGCATAATGTGTGATCCCTCAGACACCTGTGAGAGCTGAGTGTGAAGATGGAGCTGCTTTTGGACTGTTTCCTCTGAAACCTCTTAATACACAGAGCTGCTGGCACTGCTGAAGTTATTTGCCTCTATTGAAGGTCTGAAGGCATCATACACGCTTTCATGACAGACAGACTAAAGCGATAATCCATCCATCCATTCATCCACCCATCTTTCAACCGCTTTGTTGTGGTCAGGGTCACAGGGTCAATGGGATAGTCCCAAGCCCATCTCCTTCTAATTCAAAGTCAGTGGGATGACATTCTTCAGCATATGCAAAAAGCATCCATCAGTTCACCAGATGGAACTGCTTGTTCATTTGGGACTGGGGCCTCCCAGAGCCTGGGCTGGGGCAGGACACAGGGTGACATTCCCCCTCGACGGGAGCCTGGGGTGGGGCAGGACGCAGGGTGACATTCCCCCTCGACGGGAGCCTGGGCTGGGGCAGGACGCAGGGTGACATTCCCCCTCGACGGGAGCCTGGGCTGGGGCAGGACGCAGGGTGACATTCCCCCTCGACGGGAGCCTGGGGTGGGGCAGGACGCAGGGTGACATTCCCCCTCGACGGGAGCCTGGGGTGAGGCAGGGTGTGACTCCCCCTCGATCGTTAAGTGCATGCAGACTAATGGAAATCACTAGTTACCCTGGACAGCTTTTCTCCAGAGGGGACTCAGAGAAGGTGCAGATAAACAGACTTTGCACAGACAGACCTCGGCCTCAGGTCAACCCTGCAGCCGGACGTATCCGTCATGAACCCACCTCAAAAAGGCAGCTGGATGGATATGGAGCATCCTGAACATGCTGAACAAAATGCATCTAGACTCTTAGGCAGCATCCTGTCATCTTATCTACTGCGGGCGCGCATAGTGTGGGGAAAAAAGGCAGGGCGAGTCCAGACCCCCCAACTGACGCAGCGAGGCGTGTTCCGAGCTCTCTGCATGGCATTCCTCTCCTCCCATAACCCTCAGGATCAGCATTGGTGCAGTAATAAAGAAACCAACAGGAGCAGTGGTGTGCACACAGGAGCGATCATCACAGGCCCCACATCAATCGGAGAAGCCGACTGAATATTTAACCAGTCAGTCTGGATTTAATGATGACCTGGAGGGAAGCGAAGCAGGACCTCCAGCCCACAACCGGGTATCTGCCCACAACCGGGTATCTGCCTACAACCGGGTACCTGTCCGCAGCTGGGTACCTGCCCACAACCGGGTACCTGTCCACAGCTGGGTACCTGCCCACAACCGGGTACCTGTCCGCAGCTGGGTACCTGCCCACAACCGGGTACCTGTCCGCAGCCGGGTACCTGTCCGCAGCTGGGTACCTGTCCAGGGCATGCCTCTCCCCTCACAAACTTTTTTTTGTTCCCTTCCCAATTCATAAAGCTGACGTGACATTTCATCTTCCTCCCCTGAGTACACTGAAACTGCCAACCACTGAAAGTGAAAAAAAAGTTACTCTATCATTCCTGCAATAAAAATGCATGCAGTAAAAGGTACAGGCACAGGCCCTAATCAGCGGTCAGGATTTAAATGTGAATAGTGGGATGCAGTGGGTAGCACTATGATCTTGCACTGCCAGGGTTGTGGGTTTGATTCCCAGCCCTGGCTCTCGGTGTACACTTGCATGGGTTTACACTCACAGTCTAAAAATGTGTGTTTCAGGCAAATTAGCACCTCCAGTTTCCCCATAAGGTATGAATTCTTGTGTCACTGTCGATTCATGCCTCATCCTTGTATTTCCTAGGAAAAGTGCCAGCCTCCAAAGGTGGGCCCAGTGGGCAACACTATTACTGCACACCTCCTAAACTGGGGGTTCAAATCCCCCCTCAGTCCTGAGTACAAGTTTTGGGTGTCACCTGGTTTCCTCCCACAGTTCAAAAACATGCAATTAAGTTAAAGGGAATTTTTACAAAACAGCCTGTATTGTATGATTGTGTACGTGTGCATTGCACCTACAGTGGACTGGCACTGCCTCCTGTGTGTCACCCATCCTGGTGCCCTGTGCTGCTTGGTTGGACAGAAGGATGGCTGGATCCCCTGGACACTGTACTGGATAAGTGTTTATGGATGTTAAATATAACTGGAGAGAACATATTCAGGGTGGCATCTGAGTTTGAAAGCTCTCATCTTAGATCTTGATTACAATCATCAGCATCGGCACATTTTAAATCACGCATAGAATGAGGCCACAAATACGACAGCACCTGCTAAATTCTCAAAGGAGGCTCATGATCAAAAGGTTATAGGTTCAGATCCCAATAGGGGAACACCCACTGATGCAAGCAATTAACCTAAGGTGGGCTGTATACTCCACCACATAAACATCTGTTATGCAAATTTACAAAACAATCTGCATATTTGTGGCACGGAGAGGCCAAGGTAAGAGATAAGCCCATTAAAAGTGACACGGCGACACTGTTAGCCTATGGAAATACAGCACGGAATCTCCATCCTCCAGCGTGGCAACACAATCAGGCCGGCAACATTTGTTTTCTCCTTAGCGACCAGATTGGTGGGAGGCCTGTTTTCTATACTCGACAGGAGGACGACATATGGAAGGCAAATACTGATACCAAGCGAGGGGGCAGCAGAGGCAGACGGAGAAGAGTGTGGCGGGCACAAGGTGAGTGAGCCTCCATTTATCATGGCCGGCACCAATTCCAGGGACCTGGGATCTCCGGTTGTGTCCCAGTCTGAAAGGGAGGTGCTGCATCCTTGACCTTCCCGTTGAATCCCATGACACGTGTCACGCTTACGTTCTTTTTCCCTAAAGCAGCAGGCCTGCACCCCCTGACGGGCTCTAACAGGCACCCCGGTGGGAACGGCTCGGTCTGGCAAGGATGCTGACAATAGCCTGTGGAAAACCTGAGACACAGGGATCAGACAGCAGCCTGACCCACATACAGTACAGGCTCTTCGTGTTTCCCGGAGGCCTGCTTGAGTGACGGCCTACCTGATCGGGTATCAGGCCCAAACTACCTCCCCCAAACTGCGTCTCTCCGCTGGACACCACCGCTAGGCTGCCCAGACGGTCACAGCAAACATTCGCCCCCAGGCATTTACAGTATACACTAATGATGATGGTGGTATAAAATTAGACATTCTGAATGCTACCTGCATTGTGGTAAAGGACACCAAGGAAAGGAGCTTGTTACTTACAAATGTATCATATATAACCATCCACCCATCAACAACCAGCACTCCGCCCATCTTTTAACTGCTTCCCCAATACAAGGTCATGCAGCCTCTTCTAGGAAGTCAGGAGAAACCACGACCACACCATCATGGGCCACACATATCATAACAATTACATATATATGATTGTAACCATGCTGTGGGTAACTGAATTGTTAATCATGTAGGTAAATATACACTGTTTATATATTATTTAGATTTGTTATTACTTAAGCTGAAGCAAAACAGAAAATGGAATGGTTGTCTCACAGGCAACCTGACAACCTGATATCTGGAGCACAAAAAGCACCAAGAGTCGGCATCCAGCTTGTTTACATGTGCAGCCTGCTGCTGTGTATGATGTCCCAGAGCAGGCCAATTCCAGGGTCACCCAAGTCCCTCTCCTTGATTTTTACATACAGTACACAAACCTAAATTACAAAATACAAAAGTGCCACACTCGCCCTAAGCACCCTGACCTTCAGCAAGCGTCACCACCATTAACCGGGGATCTCGATTACAATACGTGGCTCAAGGGTACAACAGCAGCCCCCTTAATCGTCTCAGCCCCCTCAGAGAGCTCAGCGTCTCGCCGCTGCAGGTGTGATGTGAGACACACAGCTGGGGTGAGGACTAGGCATTCAACCGGGAGCAGGAGTTCTGGGAAAGCTGTGTGACCCGCATCTCAAGCAGGTGCCCCCCCACCACCCACCCCCCCACCAGGGCGTCTCCTCACCTGCTTGGCACCTGCGTGCAGCTCCCCTCCGCCAGGTGCTCAGCTCAAGACACGTCGCTCAGGTGCGGCTGCTCGTCAAGCTCCGCCCTGCGGCCCGACCCGCCGCCCTGCTGGCTCCGCCGCCAGCGCGTCCCCGTAAATGTTTACACACTCCATTAACATGACGCTTCCTCGCCGCCCTCATTGATTAACGAACAGCTCGTTCTGCTGCTAATTAATCCGCATAACGCTTAGCCCTCTGTCCGCCCCGCCCCCTGGCACCCCTCCCCCTCGTTCGCTAACTCTCCCACGCCGAGGTGGCGCAGAGATGCCCGTGGCTGAGGCTCTCCCCTCAGCACGGCGAGTCCGGCTCTCCTCTCTGTCTGCCTCCTTTTTCCCTCCGCGCCGCACTCTGTCCCTCCTTCTTTCCAGAGCAGCCTCTACTATGTGATATCATTGATTTCCTTATAAGGGACAGGTTGCTAAGCAACCGCGGACTCCACCTGTCTCTCACTCTCTCTCCCTCTCTCTCGCTCTCTCTCTCTCTCTCTCTCTCTCTCTCTCTTTGTCACTGTCTCTCAGTCTCTCCTTCCATATCTCTCGGTTTTCTGTAAAGATGGTGGATTTGACTCTAAAGAGAGAGACAGAGGGAAGGAGAGAGACGAAGAAAGCAAGAGAAAAAGAGAACAGAAGGAAATGGTGTGGGGTAACAACACGGCGAGAAGGTAGAAATGTGGAATTCAGGAAAAGGTAATGGAGAGAGAGCGAGTTTAGAGAGAGAGAGAGAGAGAGAGAGAGAGAGAGGAAGCAGTTCTGAGTGCCTCTCCTCAGTTCTGCGGATTGCGGTGGAATGCCACTTTTACAGGACTGCAGTTCAGGGAGCTGCACCATCTACCGAGGCACAGATATAGAGCGAGGAATGATAAAGAGCGAGGGATGAGAGCAGGAGAGTGAAGGGCAGAGGAGTGAGCAGGGACAGCCTCTCCGCAGACTTAGCCTGAAGAGCAGCTCGTCCTGGTCATTCTCTGGAGCTTCGCTTGTTTCCATCGGTGCTTTTAAGCCAACCCCCCCTGCTCCCCCACCATTAGCCAGTCCACCCGCAGAGTGGTCAAGAGCTTTATAATTAGATGACAGGTAAAATGAGGTGTGTAGGTGGCTGGGGGGGGGGCTCAGGTACCTGTTCCCGGGGCCGCTCCATGGGCACCCGCAGGCTGCCGTAGGAGGGGGTGTGTGTGCCCCCCTGCTGCCCAGGGTACTTGTTCTTCAGGTGCTCCATGACAGCGTCCCTCTTCCGCTCGGCGTCCACCTTGGGCTCCACACTCTGCCCACCGCCGGCGACAGTGGCGACAACCGTGTGGCGCCGTTCGGACGTGTGCACCAGGCCCACGTTGGAGAAGCGGCGCGAGCCACCGGCGCCCAGGGTGCGGTATTCCCGCGGGTACTCGGCGTCGTCCGTCGAGATCATGTGACCTCCGCCGCTCTCGGAGCCTGCGGAGGCGGAGGAGAGGGAGGGGTCAGGTCAGCATGGGTTGTGGGGTGACAGTAAGGAGGACGAACACCCCCCACCCAAACAGTCAGACACACGCCCCCCAGAGCAAAGCAATCCTGAACGGCAGAAAAGGTGCAACGGTTGCCATTACACTGATTCCCAGTTTAAGGAAGAGAACAATCAAGAATCCAAGTGCTAACCACGCTGCCACGATACATCAGAAAACATTCATTTAATATACACATCTCCCACTTTTTGTAATTGTTTGTAATTTCAGTTGCCTTTGCTGCTTCCTGAAACAAAAAGGCTTTCAAAAAGAAGTCATTACGCCAAGGGACCAAGGCCCATGCGACAATTAGAGTAGGGCAAAAAAAAACACTCACTCCAGATTTTCGAATTTATTTGTCGACGCTTCTAAACCAATCACGGCAGACTTAAAGTGGCCCAAAATGTTCTAGCCAATGGATGGACTCAAAACAACTGCACTCGCCAGAGAAGGAAAACAAAAGGAATAGGTTCAATACCAAAGGCGGGCATTAACAGCCTTTTGAACACCAGCACGAAATCCAGCTTGTAGTTTGCGGTTATTCAGCTTTGAAAAACAGACCTCAGATTCCACCAGGAGCAAAAACACCCCCTTGATCTTATGAGCAGGCGGCTGTGAAGACTGGGGAACGTGAAGCGGATTAACGGAGGACATAGCTGGCATGAACCCTACATGCACACCACCGTTCATCTTTTCTTCAAGTACAAATTCCAAATTCTTGGGATTGAGAAAATGTTACTTTGCTCTGCCAGTAAAGTGCGCTAAGTGGAGAGATTTACCCGCATCGGAGGATTGAAAATGCTATTTTTTTTCTCTCCACTGGCTTCCAAGGAAGGGCAGAATGTGGAAATAATTCTGTCCCGGAGCTGTTTGCAGAAAAAGAAAAACTTCACAGGAGCTGTTTGAAACTGGGACACATAAGTCCCAGTCAGCTTTTACCGATGCCCAACTGACAAATACCGTATGTTTTTTTTTTGGCTAATTTGCCTGTATGTCTATTTCAGGTGAACTTCTGGATCCATTAGGAGAAAGTATGGAATCGAATTTAGGACCACAAGGGGATCTACAGCCGTACGCGGCAGTGGTCATCCCTGACCTAAGAGTACCATAGCAAATATCACTCGAAACATGGAGGTGAACTGCGACTCTGCAACATTACTGGAGAAGTGAGCCAGCCTGATGCAGGGAGATGGGCACACATAGAAAATCAGGCAGGCAACATGTTCTGGTCCCAGAGCCACAGTCACTGTGCTTAATGCAGACAGCAATAAGATACCCAGGATCCCTCTGGGTACTCAAACATGCGCCCAGGCAAAATGAATTTCTGAAAATTGCCCACATTGAGTGAACACACTGCAACGGACTGGAATCCCATGCATAGTGTCCCCTGCCTCGTCCTGAGTTTCCTGTGATAGGCTCCAGGCTCACGATGACCTTGTTACTGGATAAGCAGTTATGGAAGATGGATGGAAAAGCATAAGAGTTTGTCCTGGGTAGTGTCCCCTAATGCATGACTGCAGAGGAGTCAGGGAGGCTGTCTGAGGTTTCTGAGCTGAACTGGGGAGCCAAGAGCCTGTGGTGCCTGAGAAGGTTCATCACTTCATAAGGGTGCCAGCGCCAAACTGGCCACACTCGGCCTCAGAAGGTGTGAGCAGAGCGGGTCCACACGACTCCTGTGGTCCTGGAGGATTCATTAACTTAACAAGGTTCTCACAGCAGGTGTGCCACCCCCCCGGTCTCCGCACGCTCTCCATGTCGGCACAGGAGCTGTGAGGTCTGCTGGGCAGGATGGGACAGCTCGCCTTGCATCAGAGTGGGCACTGCAGATCGGAACGGGCAGACCCCAGCCCCCGGCCAGCCACCTGCCCCCGCGTGGGTCTGTTGGCCCCCTCCCCCCGCCCCGCTGGGTGACCATCTGCCTCACGCCACCGCCATGGGAGTCTTTCGCCTGTGGAGAACCTGGAGACACCAGCAGGTGGCATCATCTGTCGCATGGAGCCGGTCTGCTCTGCTTTACCACTGCAATGTCTGGCTGCCGATTGGTGAACATGTCACACTGGGAGCACTAGAATGTTGCAAAATAGACCAATCAAAACACTGTTCCCCTGTCATTGGCTGATATTTCAGTGACGACATCCCCTGTTTTAATATGCTTACTAACTATAAGAAAAATGAGTATCAATATATTCTCAAGACCATCCATTCACCTTCCAGCCACTGATCCCAAAAGATCCCACTGTGTCCCATAGGGGGGTGAATCCATTCTTTTATAACAATTTATATCATCATAATGCTTAAACCAGGTATTCCTTCAGGTGTAATTATGAAATTAGCAATAAGTATGGAAAAATCTGAAGGGCCTTTATGTGAAGGGCTTTCCAGCAACTCCAGCCTTGAGCTCACTTTTCTGATTTTCCGACTTATGATGCGTTCTGCGACTGTGCCTTGAGTTAAGTCCATTAAACGCAGAGCTGTGGTCTCCTGCTGGAGATGTGGCAATCCACACTGATGTCACGCTTCATGCTGCTATAACACGGAGCGGCATTAGGGGGAGCGAGGTACAGCGTTTGGGCGAAAGGGAACACATACACCGTAGAGCTATAGCCACAGGCGGGATGGAGAAACCCAACTGCTGGCAGCTGGCGACATCCAGCATGCAGGTCTGGTGACTTAAGGGACTGCCGGGCTGCCCATGCGAGGGGGAGGACCTCACGTGATGCACTGTGCACAAGCTCACGCCATATCCACCCAGCTGGGGGCTAGGGGAATGTCAGTGGGGACAGAAAACAGCCACCAGCGACAGGCCCAGAGGCAAAAAAAAAGTCAAGCTGCTGGGAACCACATCGAACAGGCCTCTGACATTTTAATAAACACGTCCATGACAGGCAGGCATACAAATAGCATAGCTGAAAATGCGAAGACAGCAGAACCATGCTCTGCCAGAAATCACGGGTAAATTGTTCAGAGAAAATGAATCCTCCTTTTCTCACAAATACAGGAGTTCTGTCTGGTGGGTTATAACCTACATTTGAATAATCATGATCCCTGGTATTCTGTTCAGAATGAACCTGTGCCTGGGATAGTGACCTTGTGCTGGAATTTTTGCAGCAGGTATAAATTTCTTAATTTCTAAAAGATTATGATGTCATCCTATGGTATGGTACAGTGTTGTAGAATTTACTACAAACAGTTTATTTCATCCTATGAGTAAATTGCACCTGAACTTTGAGAATATGTGTGCAAGAAATGTTATTCCCAGGATGCCAGAAGACTCAATCAACATATTAGACCCGTACTCTGGTCACATGCCACATCAGGGGGGCTGTGGGTCACTGGACTCTCTATGGGGAGGCTTTTGATGATGATCCAGCAAGCAGGCAGGAGACGATCTACGAAAGGCAATGTGGTGATGGACACTGCAAGCGGCCAATGAGGAAGCACTGTAACAGACCGGAGGGCGGGTCCCTTGGGTGCATGCTAATCTCTGCTAAGTCTTACATAGCAGGAATTCTCAGCACAGAGCCTCCCACAGCTGGTAATCAGATCCGTTTAAAAACCCGTTCCTGTGTTCTATTGCCATTCACAAGCGAAGAGAAATGCTTAGCATATCTTAGCATCATGTTTTTTATTTACGTGTTTCCAATCCTGGTCCTGGATAGAACTATATAACTGCTATTCAGTCACAATAAACAAATCTTATATGTGTTTGTGTGTTTCTCCTCTAGGTCATCTTGTTTCCTGAAAAACTAGGCAGTTAGCTGACTTGAAGTCTCCAAATTGCACACCATGCGGAGCATGGGTCTCATGGCTGACTGGAAGCCCATCCACCACGTTCCAGAAGATGCCACCGATATGCACAGATGGTACAGATGTAGCTCTATGTGACATGCGAGTTGATAACGTCAAATGCGGGGGGGAAAAAAATGTCACTATGCCTTACTGAAGAAACATCTCACATCATCTGAAAAGGAAAATAATATTTAAGGAGAACACTGCTCACAGCTCAAGAGCAATTACTATTACTGTCTGCATTTTCAGAGTATTGAAATGATAATGTAGGTCTAGGGTACAAATGTTACATTAAGATAAAAGACAGGCCTGTTTCTCCTGTCATAAATTAATGTTCTCATCACTTTCTGTTACTATTCTGTTACTGTTATCACACTTTATCTTTCTGGCAGTAACATTTAATTGATTTTAAATAAAATGAAAACTACTTGATGGTCATTTTTCTAAGCAGTTATATTAGAATAGACTTTTCTGAGAACATAAAATGAGGTGAAAGCCACATCATTAGCTTTGTGATGATGGACAAGATTCTGCTTGTTATTTAGAATCAGACAGTACAGTATAGAGTCACTTTCAAAGGTGTTTAACTACCAGGGAAGTTCTCAAATACAAAGTAAGGGCACAAGTCTTCTACAGCGAAGCCCCTGTAGGACTATTTATAGTCGACCCTCCCACATCGCAGGGGTTAGAGGCGCAGGCCCCCCGTGATCTGCCAAAACCACATAAGATTTTGTGGTCCCCTTGGCGACTAATACGAAGTGAAAAGATACAAGGATCACTGTGAAATCACTGTGTGACATCACGTGAGAGGCTGCCATAAACACACTTGGTATCCTCCAAACCAGCACTGTACACATTTATGACTTACTAAACTTTTTGTGCATTGTCTGTAACTTTCACAAAACTCACAAAAAAATTCCCATCTAATATCTTATGCTGACTCTGCGATATATCAAAAACCGTGACGGGGAAAGTTACAATGCAGGAAGGTCGACTGTACAGTTAGGGATCAGTAACAACAAATAAGTATGTAAATCTTTCATCCATGACAGCTTCTTAAAAAATATGGTCTTGTCACAGAAAATTGTCCAAATGGCAGGAATTTAGGGGAGCAAGTGACAGAAATTACACAAAATGCTTATTGATCACCTTACAGACAAGCAG